TCTCAATCTATGTAGCCAAGGTGATCTTGAACGTTTAATCCCCCTGTCTCTACCTCCCAAGTGTTGGGATTGTAGATATGTGCCATTATGTCTGCTTTATGGGGTGCTGAGAATCGAACTCAGGGCTTTATGAATGTTGGGTAAGCACTCTACCAACCTATCTGCATTCCCAGTCCTATGTTATTCCTTAATGTTCAAGTTATGGAAGCTAACTAAAATTTTTTTTTCTCAGTAAGCACCTGAGTCAAAAAACAACACTTCTTGCCTGGCATTGGTGACACACACCTTTAATCCCAGAACTTGGGAGGCAGAGGCAGCGGATCTCTGTGAGTTTGAGGCCAGACTGGTCTACTGAGTGAGTTCCAGGACAGCCTCCAAAACAATACAGAAAAATCCTGTCTAGAAAAATCAAAACCAAAACAAAACAAAACAAAAAAACCCAACACTGCTGGGCACATAGTGGTAGGCACCCTGAGTCCCAGCTTATCAAGAAGATGAGATGGGAGAATTTCTCAAATCCAGAAAGTCTGGAACTGCATGAGCAACATAGTGAGACCATTTCTATAGAAAAAAGTATACTGCTGAAATATATTTGGATAAAGACAGAGGGTTGTGTACATGCACTTTCAGGGCTTGGTAAAGCAAGGATATCAGAGGTACTCTGTTAAATCTTTATTTTTTTTGATTTGCAGCATATGTATTTTCTCTTGCAGGAGATGCCAGGTTTTTCATCTTCAAGCTGACCCTGAAAGGCTTTCAGCTAGACAGCTCATCATAGGCTTTCGGGGGTTATAGGAATGCTCCTCTAGGTGGCGCCGTTTACAGCTTTCTCATTTGACCTGGGTCACCTTCCTTCTTAAGGAGTGAGCCTTCTTTATTTCTTTTCCAGATAGTGGTGCTGGAGATTTTGCACAGAGCATCTCTTCCCCAGCTGATTCAGTATCAGAAATGTTTCAGACTCTTTTTCAGCTGTCCTTTTAGGTTCCCCATATGCTGCTTACCCATGCTCCCTGGTTGATTTTAACAGTACCCGAGACTGCCCCTCCAAATGAATTGTGTGAGCAAGTCATTCCTGACACACTTAGTCAGCACTAAGTACTTCTGTTTCGCGTTGTTCATTCTCTTAAGCATGTGGGCTGTTAATTTTGTATTCTTTATTCTTTTATCTATGTGGACTGTCTACCCAAGCAGATTATAAAGTCTTTAAGAGCTCTGTATGCCTCAGGCACCTGGCAGAATACACTGCCTGGAAGGTTGTCTCAAGTGTGTTTGCCAGTGATGTAGGTGGTGGCATCCTTGTGATTATTCAACATCTAAAGAATGCATGTCCTAGGGCTGCAGAGATGGCTCAGAGGTTTAAAGCACTGGCTGCAGAGGACACGGATTCAACTCCCAGCACCCTACATGATGGCTCACAACTATCTGTAACTCAGTTCCAGGGGATCTGATGCTAACTTCTTGCCTCTGTGGGCACCAGGCACACACATGGTGCAAAGACATACATGCAGGCAAAATACCCATACACAAAGGAAAAGAAAAGAATTAATTAACAATAATATTGGTTCCAGACTGGGTATGGTTGTGAATGCTGTTAATCTCTGCACTCTCCAGTTAGGCGGATCTCTGTGAGTTCAAAGTTTGCTTGGTCTACATACTAAGTTCCAGGCCAACCAGGGCCCAGTTTTTGGGTCCTTGAGAACCTCCAATCCCTCTCTCTCTCTCTCTCTCTCTCTCTCTCTCTCTCTCTCTCTCTCTCTCTCTCTCTCTCTCTCTCTGTCAATGCATGTTGTACATGGCCTGCTTTCTGGACCCCACTTTTCTTCCCTAGATCATTTTAGAAGAGTCCTTTCATTTTACTATTGGACTCTGCCTCCATGAGACTTCAATATGCCTTTACTTGGTTTTCCCTTCTCATCCCCAAAGGCTGAGCAATAGATTGGGGTGCATGGGATGGGTAGTTTTCTGTCATGGGATACCACAGGGGAGATAACAGGCTGTTTTCTTAGAAGTTCAGAGCTTCTAGGACTTTGTGGTTTGCCGTTCAGCCATATAGTAATCACCTTCAAGTTCTCAGAATGGCTTATCACCCCACAGTCTGTCTCCAGTGATTTTGATTTGGAATTATTTAAAGTGGTGTACATATACACTTATGGAATTTTTTTTGTGTTCCATTCTTTTTCTTTTCTTTCCTCTGTCTTTTCCTTTCTTCCCACAGGATCTCTCCTTTAGTGGGCCAGACTGGTATTCCAACCAGGCCTAAGTACTTTCACACCAAGCTAAGCCTATACATGCTTTAGGGTACATCAAAATGCTTCTTTCCTGTTGTGTCGTCCAAATCTTCCAAACAGGATTATTTTCTCTACCCCAGCATTCACACAAATTAATTGTCTTGTCGTCTCCTGCATTGGCTCAGAGCCAATTATGCCTTCAGCCTTCATGCCTGTGGAGTGCAAGGACTGCACTGTAGGCTCCCAAGTTTTCCTTTCGGCATCTTAACTGTCTTTACTCATAGCAGGTAGCTAATCCTTGTTTGTTGATTTAATGAACTGGAATCTTGTAACATGAGCCCTGTTTAGTTGCATAATTTAGAGTCTATTCACCTAGAACACACTCAACACCATAATGAGTTTCTGTATGGACTTCACTTGTTTGATTTAGGTTATGGGGATATTTGCTTGCAAGTGCTTTCCAGAGACCATCAAAGGGTTTGGGATAGATTTAGGTTCATGCTTGGAATTTTCTCTTCCTGTTTCCTGCTTGATGTCCTTATATAGCTTTATCCTGTGCTCCTTACTTCCTGATTTCTTCCCAGTGAGTGATACTTCTCCTGATTGCTTTGCCAATTTAAATATCTGGTAAGTGCCAGAGGGTGTCTCTGAGGTTGAGACAGAAGTGACAAAACAAAGAGGTCAATTAAGCCAAAGCATATTACTGACACCATAATGGCATCGTTTGTCTCAGGCTCCTTAGGAAACCAGACATGAGAGGTTATTTTGTTATTTTGTTTTCCAACACACACACACACACACACACACACACACACACACACACACACACACACACAGAGAGAGAGAGAGAGAGAGAGAGAGAGAGAGAGAGAGAGAGAGAGAGAGAGAGAGAGAGAGGAGGAAGGGAGGAAGAGGGAGGGAGGGAGACTAGAGACTATTTGGTATTCCTCCCTGAAGCCATTTTATATTTCTGCCTATGACTGAATTTTTACTTTTCACAGCAAAGCAACCAGCTCTTTGAAGGTACTCATATAAAAGAGGTAGGAAGGTTTGTCTTCTTGGCTTCTTTTTAAAGAGCAGAACTTTTAACAGACTTTATGTCCACAACTCGATCTGAGTCCGGCGTAGTGAGCGAATACGTGCACGTCCCAAGGGGGAGGAGAGTAAGGCAAACTGGAGGAAAGACCTTGAAGTCCAAGACTGTTCCTTCTGAATTGGTAGCAACGGTTATGGCCTTACACTGCAGCCTGAATCAACAGGAGCGGTTCATGGAAAGTACAAAATGTGAAGGCCTCGGCTTCTATAGAGGCAGGAAAATAATACGAATCTCACCTCTTGTTGTTGAGACACACTGAATTTGAATGAACAATTTTTTTCCCAAATAGAACCTTGAATGAAGAAGATCTTTTCTATTTATCAGCAAACCGTCTCAAATTAGAAGTGTAAAAACCAAATAGAATTTTACCTCAACGATATTGGTTTCTCCCCTTTCCTTATTTCATTCTCTCCCCTCCTCATTTTCTTTGATACGAAGTCTCATACTGCTGAGGTAGTAATCCCCCTGCCTCAGCCTATTGAATGTGGAGCTTATGGGCGTGACCCATACCTGTCTGGTTCCCTTAATTTTTGTACTTCTTGGCATTCTCCCAGAAGTCATCCTTAACTGTCAAGGGTCAATCCCATATCACTGGGCTATTTAACTTAGTGTGCTGGTAAGAACACAGAAAGCATTTCAGTGACCCGAAAAGTAGGAACGTATCAGGAGGCTCTTGGAAACTCGGACAGCTTAATTTTTCTCTTCCGGATTCAGATTCCTATCTGAGGATACCGAGGACAGTTCCGTCCACAAGAATCGCTTCTCTTCCCCAGTACAGAGTATCCCGTTTTCTAAGACGGCTCTCGGGTCAGAGGCCACTCGAGGCAGCTTCCAGCCCAATGGCGTTTTTCAAATAGGAAAGGGCAGCAGGGTTCCAGGGCAGCCCGAGGAGCAGCGCGTGAGCACCGCGTAGGGCTCCCGCGGCGCCGGCGGCCGGAGGGCAGGCCGAGGCCGCCATATTTTCGCCGACCACGCCCCGAAGGCCCGCGGGGTGTCCGCCTGCCGGCCCAGCTCCAGCGGCGGTGACCACCGCGCCCCGGACAGGCCAGAGGGGAGGGAGGCGGCGGCGGAGCGGGGCGGGCAGCCGGGGGCGGGGCGAACAGCGCGCGAGCTGTCCAGGAGGGGCCGCGGCACCGCCCCTCGTGTTGCGCCCGCCCCCTGATCCCGCCCTCCTCGCGCCGCCCCCTCCCTCCCGGATCTGTGCTCCAGTTCAGAGAAAGGAGAAAATGTGTGTGTGTGGCGAGGGGGAGGGCGAGCACTGAGCAGCCGCGGCGCGCCTGGCAATCGGGCCGGGTGGGCGTCCGGCGGAGGCGGGGGCGGAGGCGGGAGCGCGCGGCGGCCGGCTGCCCGGTTTGCGCGCGAGCCGAGTGGGCGCGGGCAGGCCGAGGGCGCCCGGAGCCGAAGCGGGTGGCGGCGAGGAGCGGACGCGCTGGGCGCGCGGAGCCGTCGGCGGTCGCTCGCTGCGGGGCCGCCTCGGTGGATGAACTCGGACCGCTGGGCGCACAGCCTAGGGCAGCGTCGGCGGCGGCGCGGGGCGCCAGGAGGGCCGCGCGCTCCCAGGGAAGGCGGCGTGTGAGCGCGGCCGGGCGCGGCGGCCTTTCCTCGCGCGCCCCAGGCCCCCGGCCCCACTCGTCCCCGGCCCGCCTGGGCTGCGGGCCCGGCTGTCGTCCTCCCCGCGGCTCCCTTGAGCTCGTTCCGGACGCGCGCCCGGGCGGCGGGGCTCCGCGGCCGCCGCTGCCTCGGGGGAGCGAGGGCGGAGGGTGTGTGTGCGCGCGTGTGAGCAGGGCGCCGGCGGGGCTGCAGCGAGGCACTTCGGAAGAATGACTCTGGAGTCCATCATGGCGTGCTGCCTGAGCGAGGAGGCCAAGGAAGCCCGGAGGATCAACGACGAGATCGAGCGGCAGCTGCGCAGGGACAAGCGCGATGCCCGTCGGGAGCTCAAGCTGCTGCTGCTGGGTGAGTGCGGCCCTCGGGCCCGTGTGCCCCCAGCCCCGGCTCGCCGCTGCCCTCCCCGCGCGCGCCCCCGACCGGCACCCGCACCCGCAGCCGCGCGCGCGCACACAGGGGCCGAGGGCCGGGGCTGAGCCGCGGCGTGCGCCTTCGGTGTCAGTCAGGGCCGAGCTCTGTGCGCCGCGTCTGCGGGACGGCTGAGCGTTCGCGCGAGCGGCGCGGGTGGGCGATGGCGTGTAGTGCGGTGGCCCGCCAGCGTCCATTGTGGCGCGTTGTGGGGTGGAAGAGGGAAGGGTGGAAACGGGGAGCAGACTCAGGACTGGATTCTGCTAGGAAAGGTGTGGAAGCCGTGGCCGGCGCCCCAAAGAAACCCGGCTAATCCACTGGGCAGGGGCGGGGCGGGAAGGCCAGCCCAAATGTGCTCTACCGTAGTCACTAGGCCACTGGGAGAAGCGACCCCACAAGAGTTGCTTGGCCAGTGGATGGTGACAGGCGTCTCTTCTGCACCATTCCTTCCGGATAAATATGAAGGATCTGGGAGGGTTGTACTGTGTGGTTGTTGACAGCGGATGGGTATCTTTTGTTTAACGAGGCGACCCAGATGTATGCCTGAATTCACTGCAGTTTCTACTGGAAACCAGCGCACAGCCTCTAGTTACTCTCCTGGAAACAAATAGAAACCTTTTGTTTCAAACGGACATTTTAGTATCTTGCCATCTGGGTTCCAAGAAAAACGGGAAGAATGCGAGAAAATTTCCCTCTAATCTCGTTTAAAAAACCAAAACAAAAAACGACAACTTGGCATTCTGCGTTAACACGAAGTTAGCAAGAAAATTCTGTTTTCAAATAGGAATTATATTGATTATTATCTCTGCGAGAATGTTCAGAATCAAACGATCAGGGTTCACGTACAAGCTAGCATGACATAAGTCCAAGCCATTGTGGTAGGAAGCGTGAGCAGCTTTGCAGGAACAGGCCTGAAAAATGTCTGCACTTGTGTTTATTTGTATGAGTAAAAATAACGCTTCTCAAACATTTCTCTAAGAAAAGGATATTGCATTGTTAGTTCGGATTTGAGAAGCGCCCCCTCCCCCCCTTTTTTTTTTTAATCTGGAGCATTCAATCTGCTGGCTCCAGGAACCCATTGCCTCTGGGACTGAACTGTTCATATGTACTGGATCGCTTACAATCAGGAACAAAATATAATCACAAATGGTTACCAGTGCTGTCTCCTTGCCTTGCCTTAAGTCTTCATATTGAAATCTAGTGAGGTAAATGTGCAAATATGAAGTATTCATAAAGAACAGAAGGCAAGGGCGGAATAGAAAGGTGGGTTTCAGGGGAATGGAACCAGGGGAAAATTGGATAAGTTAAGCCTGTCCACCCTTGTCATTCATTTCTGTTGCTTCTCATGGCTGAAAACGGGATGCTTTTTGATTTTTTTTTAACGAGAAGGGAAAAGCAAGGACAAGTAGAATAAATATGCAGTGTTCCAGTATACAATTAAGAGGAAAGACATGTATTTTAGAGATTTTTCTCTGAGACCTGGGTTTTAATTTTCCTTTGTTTACAGTCTTCATATGTTTGTGTTTAGCTAGGAACAGGGCATTTGAGGTCTCGTTAACCAAACTTATTTGCCTGAAATTTGACAGCTCCAGGTTTCCCAGCAGCTATGAGTTTGGTTTGTCAGAGGACCTAAGGCTTACATACCTGAGAGGGGAATACACTTACAGAGATACTTAATTACATGCTGTGTATTTTAATAACATATCATGCTTTAAAAATGAATGTGGAAATGATTGCTGAGAAAAACCCCCCACAGTTGTACTGCTAAAAAAGTGGTAGGTGCGAGTGTGAGGCTGCCCTCCCCCCACTTAATACATATTTGAGTAGAATTTCACACAGCCCCACCTCACCTAGCAAAGACAGGCTGTAAGAGGTGGTAGAAAAATTTGCTGTTTATTAAACACCTGCATCCGAGAGCAGCATTTAAAAAATGATACTTACCTGTCAGAAACAGGAGCCCTCGACATCATTAGCGGTCATTATTGTTCTCCGTCTACATAGGCTTCTCCCTCATATGCAGTACCCAAACTGTTTGTGTAGTCATGCCAGATCCTAAGTGTAAATCTCTGTGTGTGTATATGGGGATGTGACTTTACTGGCATATGAGTTTAGCCAGGAACTGAGTGGTGATTTGAACAAGGGAGGATTTTGGGGGAGGGGCTCCTTGGGGGAATTCCTGGTCTTGCTGCTTTGTGAGTAGTCTTCATTTCCTAGTTCTTTTGTTCATTTTACCAACCCATAGCCAGAAGAGGTTATAGAATATAGTCCTTCACAGTTTAAAGTTCTTTTGTCATTGTTGGTCACTTGTTTACATGAAGGGATCACCCTTGTGGTGAAATTCTGTGTAAAATTGCTTTCAAAGTAAGTTTTTGTTCAAGGCTGACATTCATGGAAAGGGTTTGCTCCACAGGGATGTAATTCATTGTTCACATAATAATATATTTCTTAATAAAATATAGCAGTGCCACAAAACAATGGTTATCAAGTGTGGCACTAAAGTTTGGGCTCTTTTGAGTCATAATCCAGTGTGCTCTGTATTTATTCTATGGTTGCTTACCCGTTTTGATTTCATTCTTCTTGAAGAATGATCTCTGACATTTCATCACAGAGTTTGTAATTTTTGTCTTATTCTCTATAATTCATTCATATTAGTGTTGGTTTTCTTTGACACCTCAAAGAAAACTTTGTATTCTATATAGAATATAGAATATACCAGAAGCTATTTGATATTTAATATCTTGCCTTTAGAGTTGAAACATCATGAATATTCATTAGATATTTCTGTTGTTGATACATAGGTGACAGCATTTAATTATTGATTTGTATTCAAGTTTCAGAGGAACAAATGGTCCTGAATGCTTTAGGTCATACATATTCACTGGGAAGTTTTATTCAGTTCCTTGAAGACACTAGCTCTCTCCCCAGTGACCTGTTGTTTTACATGTGTTTAAAATCTCTACTCTGTTGACCTTAGTCATCAAAGTAGCAACCCCTTTTTATGTATGGATTCCTTTTATTGAAAACAGGCAGCATTTATGTTAGTCATAGATGGAAGAATATATGTATTTGACCCTTGAAAGTGAATTACATACACATTTAAAATTCTTTTTTTTTTTTTTTTTTTTTACCAAGTGCTATTCATTCAGCATTTAGAACTCTAAGACATCGTGGGCACCTGTCTTGTTTGCCTGACTGAGATATGCCAGTTAAAGCTATTCAGTATTTCTAACTGTTGCCTGGAACCAGTGTAGTGTTTTACTAAACGCAGCCCATCCCTAGCCTTTGGCTATAGATACACTATTTTTTTTTTAAATTTTATTTTCCAGTTTAAATTTAGATAAGAAACAAGGTTGCTTCACAAGTCAGTTCCAGGTCCCTCTCCCATTCCCTCCCTTCCTCCCGAGCCCTCCCCTCCCCCCCCCCCCCGTTATCCCCTCATTTCCCCAGGGAGGGTGAGGCCCTCCATGGGGGTGTGCACATTTAAAATTCTTTATCTGTTCCATTCTGCAATCTTATGAGGTAGAATTGTGTTTGGTTTGTTTACTACTAAGTCCTAGCTTCTAGGACTGTATCTGTAAGAGTGGTCTTAATCAATACTTGCTGAATAAATAATTTTTTTGTGATCTTGAAAAAATTACATGTAGCCTGGCGGTGGTGGCGCACGCCTTTAATCCCAGCATTCGGGAGGCAGAGGCAGGCGGATCTCTGTGAGTTCGAGGCTGGGCTGGACCGATAGCCTCCAAAACAATACAGAGAAACCCTGTCTCGAAAAACCAAAAAAAAAAAAAAAAAAAAAAAAAAAAGAGAGAAAATTACATGTAATCCCAGGGTCCTAGATGTCTGTGCAATGCATTGTGTTTGTGCTGGGTATGTTAGAATGGGAACACCTTTTGATATTTGGAATCTAACCCAGCATATCACACTTGCTAAACAAGTGCTCCAACTTTATACTTTTTATTTTGAGACAAGGTCTCACTAAGTTGTTTAAGGAGGCTTCCTCCTACTCTATCCTCTTGACAGCTAAGATAACAGGCCTGCACCACTAGGTCCAGGTCAGTCATGCTTCTAGTGTGTAAATTTCAAGAAAACCAGTCCATTCTATACTTTGATTACTGTTTATCATATAAAGGCTAGTTTACACATGTCATATTTTTACTGGATGTTTTTCTCCCATGATACATTGTTCATAGTGAATTTTTAATATTCCTTTTTAGACGATCAAATAGATTTTTGTGGTTAATACATACACTGACATGACAGAAACTTCAGTGGTAAGTGCAGACTGTTAGGAATTGGAATTTGTTTTGGAAATTACAGGTGTAAAGCAAGAAGGGGACCTGGAAGGCTGGGAATGGGTGCTCTGCTCATCTTAAGTTAGAGAGTATTGCTTTGTGCGTATTTAAATACTCTTCCAATTCCCTCTTAGTAGCTGTCAGGGTTGGCTGCCCTGAGCCTCCTGCCCTGAAGATATCAAAATATGGTGTTGCTGTGAAGACTGACCAGCTTTTTTTTTTTTTTAATGCTTTTTGATCTTTTTGTGTTTAAAGTGTTTAAACATGTTTCTAAAAAAAATCAAGATTTATTTGCATGTATTTCTTCAAAAAAATAAAAAAATCAGAAAACTATTTATATTTGAATGCTGAAATGGAATCATGTCTTAGAAATCCAAGCCATAGCTCTGACTGACAGCCTTCAGAGTAAGATTTTTTTTTCCCACGGAGCTGTGTGGATTTCCTATCCTTATCCGTCTTGTGTCTGTCTTATGCCTGTGGATCGTCATCAGAGTTTTGGACTACATTAGAATCCTGCTGAAGGTTTTTCTGTGTGAAGTTACTCTGTGTGTTTCTGCTCAAATATTTGTATGTAGGGGCTGAAAAGGGAACCAGAAGTGCAATCTAGTAGCCATTTTGTTTACCACAAACAAAATTGGTAGCTTCTTT